TTTCATCTTAGCTCCTGAAAGCATTCTACAGATAACAGGCTGACTGCACAGAGGTGAAAGAATGACTTCTATTTTATAAGAGAGGAAACACTAACAAGGCAAGGGCCCACTTTTCAGAAGCAAACTCAAGCATTGCTGCTGCAACGCAGGGTCAGCCCAAAGGTCTCTCTAACTCATAGCCTTTTGTTGGCATGGTAGAGGAGACACCATAGTCATGGAAGGTGGGTTGTCTAGGGTGAAGTTAATTCTTCACGCTCCAGATGTGCAGCTTTCTCTAAATTCTCAAATGGAAGAACCTCAGCTGTGTAATTTTTGCTAGCAGGAGTCTGTCTGCATCCATCCCTGGCTAGCTGGGGCTGCCAAGTGTGGATGCCAAGAGAAATAGCTGAGAATAGGTCAAGCATGCACTGTGTAATGCACCCATAATATTCTCCCTGACAGTACACGATGAGGCTTACCTGAATCAGAACCAATATTTAATTGATTCCCATTTCTGGCATGAAAACTACTTCTAGTTATGCAATCCACAGCTTAATTATGCATTGCACAAGAAAGCTATAGTCGTTTCCATTCGTTTGCTCCAAATGCATTGCCTGCAGTTCTGCTTACAGTTGCCTTGTTGCTGCACAAGGAGAAAACCCTTCCCTGTGCACCTGCTCACGTAGGATTTTGCAGACCTTTGTGGTAGCCCATATTCTCTCTTCTCCAACACTCTTGATTTACTAAGTCAGGACTTTGTGCAGGTGACATTCAATAATTTTCTTGCTCTTTCAGCATTAATAACAGATCTGGTAGCTTCAGTGGTCTGATGCCCATGGAGAAGGTCCATATTGCCCAACGTAGGATTGCCTGACGTGACTACTTTACTGCACGACAAGAAGCAAGGATGTATTTTACTAGGAGTATTTTGTTCAGTGCACTATTTCTCTGCTGTTAATGAACTGCTCAAACATAATTCCACTCTCCTCCACATCATTTCAGCCTGGTTCTTAACACTACAGGGCTAAAAAAATAATAAATCAGTACTGTTTAAACATATCAGAAGCACATCTCATTAGTAACTTGAAATGCCTGATCGTGTTCTTGTAGTTCATGCTGCGAACATATCCCCAGGGGTCTTACCCAGCTTGACCTCCTTAATCATTGTTTTTCCTTACAGCATTGATGCTCTGGTTTCACAGATATCCATATAAACCAGCCACAGGCTCAGAAATGTGGTCTCCGCTCTTGGGTCAGCAACTGTAAAGTTGTACTAGCACAAAGAACCATACTGTCAGTTGATGATAGCAGCCTGAGTTTTCTCTTCTTGCTGTGTAACAGCATGCTGCATAGCATCTCCGGGAGTTATTCCCTGGTTTTGACTCCTGGTGTACTTTCAGCTTGTTTCAATTTGCTCTGAAGCTGATTTCTGTTGTACTCTGGTCAGCTTGCATTTGAGGACAAAAACATATATACAGCAATATGTAATTTTGGAAACTTCTTTCTCCTGTCCATGGAAAACAACTTCTCTCTATACCAATGATGAGTTTCTTCTCTGTGTTTCTTAAGTGTGGGCTTTTAGCACTTAAAAAATTTTGTTGCTATTCGGTAAACACTTTAGCATTTGGCATCTGTGGGAGATACTTTTTTTCTTTTTCTTAAAGATCCTGCATGTTTCAGTTTCTTCTGAACTTCTGAACTGATTATGATTCCTGCCAAATATACCCACGTTCAGTCTGAAATAAGCAAAAGCTTTAGGTAAAGATTAGGGAATGAAAAAGTGACTGATACATTTATTTCAGTGGAATTATTCTTTTGGCAAGACAGTTCTAATCTAAAGCCAGCTACAAGACATCTGAATTATGCTTGGAGAAGGCTCCATATGAATCTAATTGATCCTGAACTTTTTAATCCAGAAAGTGAAGTATAAAAATAAAGCATATGTGTGTTAGCTAAAGGGGAAGGTACCCTAATTATAGGAATGAAATCTTAGGGAACATGAAGTCTAAATTATCAGACTGAAGTCTAAACTCACCATTGGTGAGGCCTGCAATGAGCTAAACTTACCATGTGGAGTTACCTCTCCCCCTTTTCAGCTGCTATACTGAATTAAAGAGACCTAAAAATATATGGGGTAATTGGATTGAAGCAAAAGAACATGTCTCAACTAATGCAACAGCAGCTGCTTAGAAAAATAGGAAGCTTACTATGCTTCATATTTGTCTTTCACTTAATCTGGAAAAGCTCTAAGCCCATCTCCTGCTGCTTTAAGCATTTATAAATTAGAATGCAAACATCAAGGGAAAATCACCTTATTTGCTGGACAACTTACTGTGGGAGAGTCAGAACCAAGCACTGGTGCAAGATAGGTGACTCATAGGACAACAAGTTTTCATACTAAGAAGGACAGAAATCCATACTGTGAGAGGGAGCTGCCATGAGAGTGTACTCTCTTGAATACAACACTAACTTTTTCACCTTGGATTTTTCTGATATTCTGCTATGACAACACAAGAACCATATAACTTCATGTCTTCAACTTGTTCAGAACAATCTCCCTGGAAGTATCTTAAAGTCACACACAAATCTTACTGAAAGCATATCCCAGGACCATTTAATAATATAATTGCTAGAAAACAGAATGTTTATCAAAGAGGTTTGGATCAAAAAATCTCTCAGTGATTTTATTCCACGTTTAGCCAGAAAATAAACCAAACCCAAGACTATCAAATCTAACCTTTGTATTCAACTCTTTGATGTGGTCACCTTTCACAGAAGGAAACAATTGACAAACCGAAGGTGACACTGATTAAGTGGCTCTACCAATTTATATATAACCTGTAATGGTAAACAGTGTCAGAAAGCATGTCAAACTTTCACCCAGCGACAACAAAGTTGTCCTTTAAAGTCCACTCCTAGGTACGAGAGGCCACTGGCACTATCAGCTTACAGAGTCAGTAAGGCTCTCTCAATCACTTTGACAGCACGCTCCAACTCAAAGAAGTATTTATTTTATTAGCAAATTAATCTATTCATTCTCTGCAGTTAGCATTGGATGTAAGCATGCACTAGTTTATCAGACTTGGCCCCAGCAGTTTTTTCTTTGGTATGGCATTTTAATCATTATATTCACCTTGTTGACTGCAGGTAAAATCCCTTGCAGATCACTGTTCATCAAGCTGTTATTGCCTGAGAATTATTCTACCTAAGCATTCACTAATTCTACCTGTTCTTTGATGGACGATTTCACACATTTCACAAAGGGATGTTGAGTACTTAATGGGGCAGTTTTATCTTAACAAATGTAAAGTACTATTTAGATCACATTTTCAATTGACATTTTAATGTCAAATGCTGTTTCTCAGTTGCTGTTTTTTATAAGACTTTGCTTAGTCCTTATAAACGAAGATTCCCCTGAAAAATGAAAAGCATTTATTGAGTAAACCTTTCATTCACTGTCTAGCTTGTTAGAAAGACATAGAGATCCAGCACAACCCTTAAGATAAGTGAATTTATATTCCTACAGAAGATAGAAGTTTGTAATTCTTCAGCAATTCTATCTTGCCTAATAGTATACTGAAGAATCAAGATGGAAATGAAGTCACTGTTTCAGCTCATCAATTACACTTCTTATACTTCTTGTTATAGAAACTGGGCATATTTAGGAGAAATGAAGACCAAGAACAGCCACTGAATTAGCAGGCACAGGCCTTACCAGTGCAGAATAAGCTGGTGGAAGAACTCTTTCAAGCCTGCCTTTATATAAGAATAAAGCAACTATTTCTAATTTTGCCATACTGGTGCTAGAATTAGATACAAGCTACTAGTTCACATATGCAGTTCTTAAAAGCCTGACATTCTTTACCCAAAACAAAATATTTGAAAGGATTTCTTACCAGTCTCACAATGGGGCACTTAGCAGAGATACAGACGCACCAGCAAGAAAGTCAGAAAATAGTTGTTTATTTAAGGCATCCTGGATACACAGTATTAAAACCTCCCATGGAATTCAGCTTAAACTATGTGCAACTACTTATCTTTTTATATTAAAAAAACAACAAAAACAAAACAATTATTAGACTAGAAAATAGCTTAATAATCCCCCATAGTGCTTGCATGTAACTCAATGCAGAGTTCTTTTGAACACCCATTCTACAGAAAAGCCTCTGAGATCTTTAAACATGAAGGTTTGTTTTCAAGGCGCTTATCACAGAATTTCCTTCAGCATAACATATGTTCCTTCTCCTAATAATACACAATACATTATGTTTCATATCTGCCTTGAAATATTCAGTAAAACAGAAGAAAACCTATTTTCGTAGTATTGTAGTTAAGTACAGAGAGAATACAAAGCCACATATTTTTGTTCGAATTGCAAACTTGCTAAGAGAATTAGTCTAAGTGTATTTTCACATTTGTTTGGGATAACAGTAGCTAGTTATCAGGCAGCACTTCACAGCTGTGTAATTTCTTATCACAATTTAATTAGATTAAAGAATCCATCCAGAAGTCTTAATAACTGTAGGCAACAACTTTTGCTGATATTACTAAATAAACTAGTTGATTATTAAGCAGAAAGTTGGCTGCTCCAAGCTTACTTGTATATCCATGAGTCCTAACACCAAAAACCTAAGACACCCTGCAAGCAAGACTCCAAGTGTTTTCAACTGGATAGATTTTCACTGTAAAACAGTAAGAACATCATTACTACTTTGCCCGCAGAGCAGGATTCTTTTTTATTCTGTGTTGAATACCTGACTTTGTTTTTGAGGTAGCATACATTTGCTATACAGTTGAACTCCAGACTGAGGAGGTCGGTGTCTTTGGTCACTACCATGGAGATGTAGCTTGACAGGCGTAAGAAATTTCATGGATTCTTTTTTAAGTATAGCACTGGCGATGGCTTTTTCTAAATTTAGATGTGTACCTGGAACTAGAACTTTGCCTTTTCAAATCACATCTTCCTCCACATTCTCCTTGGCATTCCTGCACAAAGATTAACCACTGTCCTTTTATTCAAAAGTTCTCTTCAAATCAGCACTCTCCAAAGACAAAGAGTCTCATTCTGTAAAAGTTGTTTAATGTGTACTAAAAATGGCACATCAAATTGAAGACTTCTGTGAAAATATTAGAATCTTAAAAATGCAAGACCTGTGAGACCTTGGTTCTGAAGTAAAAAACTGCTCCAAAAAAAAGATGCAACGAGCAGGATGCAGCAAATAGCAACAAACATTAATATAGACTTTCAGTGCTTTTGGCAGTAACTCAATAGCACCAGAGGTAAATGCTAGAAAATAGTATTTGTGTGTATTAACAGCATGTATAACAGGGCATAACTTGTGATAAACAAGGCATATGTACTGTCCAGTGTTCTTTCTTTTAAAAAAAAAAGTTTGAATGTTTGACTTTGAAAAGATAAACTTGTGCCTAGATAAAAGTGCAGGCAAAGAGATGTCTCATCCCAAATTGAAAGACGCTAGAAACAGCATAAAAAAAAAAAAAAAAAATCACACGTTGCACAAAAGATAGCTAAATATTCAAAAATTTACAAAAAACAAAGCTAGCTCACAATACTGAAATGCTTCTAATTCCTAACTGTAAAGATTTTTAAAAGTGCCAGATAATTTTTATTTTGAAAAATACAAACAATGCAAAAAATACTGACTTAAGTAAATGACGGAAGTCTAAACTAGAGTAGTGGGAATTAAAACAGAATTCCATTATTTTTGTTATTAAAGGCATTATGTGGTACTTTTTCATAGTTTTACAGTGCAACGTGATTAAGCCTTAATCAGGCTTTCCTACTTGGGACACTGTGCTGTGAACACTTGGCAGCGCAAGTCTGGGTATCCAAACAAAACGTGAGAATCAAGAAGTAAAAAGAGAGGTGAATCATGTGATACGAAGAAAAAAAAAGTAACTGTCACGTTTTGAAAGTTATTTTAGCATCTAAGAATTTAAAGCTATTAATAAATACAAAAATGATCGAACTTAAAAGCACTATAAAAATGTGAACTTTTAGACTTAGAAATCCAACGTATGCACCTAGACATCTGAATACATTCCAAAAGCATACCATACAGATTCTGAAGGCAAACAACAACATATCATACAGCCTTAATCTCATCTCATGTACATTAAAAAAAAAATAAAATTCAATCAGCCTCATCTAAAATATAAACATTTTCACAGGTTGTCATGTATTGTAAGCTACTTATTCTGTTTTCTTTGCCTGTCTCTTCTTAACATCATCACGGGGCTGCTGTGAGGACGACTGGTCACAGACTGAAGAGCCATTGGAAGATGAAGCACCTTCACCCTTCACTTTGGGTGGTGGTTTTTGCAAGCCAAAGAACATATGGCTCAATGCAGACTCAATGGGAGCAAATGGAGAAGCTGTAGATCTTGTCAACATCATTGTTACCTATGAGAACAGTCAAGTTGCACTGTAAGTTTTAATGACTTCACAGTAGTTGAAAAAAAGTTCCGTGATAAACCAATGTATGGCACTTCCAACTTGCATACTGAGCACTAAGAGTCCATGTCATCAAGAACAGAAACATGCTCACTATAGCTTGAAATCATCAGCAAATATTTCCCTTTCTGACCTACACTTTTTAGATAGCTACATACAAGCAACCCTTGTATGTAGCTATCTAAAGCTATGTAAAGCTACATAGATTTACTAAAATCATCCTAAGAGTAAACCTTTATTGGTGTCATACAACAAGGCCTTTATTTGTTTAGGTGAAGAGCTGTGAGCATTAGTTTGAAGTCTTGTCTCCCTAAAGCAACTTCCTCAGAAATGAACTTGTCTACTACTTCACAAAAGTGAGACTGACAACAAACATTTTGCTCTCTAGTCTATTCAACAGCAGCTCAGAAGCTCTTAAAATTGCTAAACTTCTGCTAACACACACAGGCTACACATTTCTTATTAGCTAATAATCCTGAAGACAAGCATCATCCTAGAAATGAACAATACTAAATGAGTCAAGGACTGAAATTAAGTGATGCTGTGTAAGAAAATACTATTATTTACCTTTAATGTATTAACTGCATTGTTTTTACAGCATTGTAATAATATGTGATATGCATATACAGACTAAAACCTATTTAGTTTCTTTTGCAAACCCATCGATGACTGCACATATAAGGCAAGCATTCAGCAGCTAGCAAAAGGCAGAGGAGTGTTTCTTTCCACAAACACCAACTTTGTTTGAGTTTGTGTTAATAAAAGGCTACCATGCCAGCTCTTGGAAGCCAGAATTCATGATTTCACCTCACTCCATATGCTGAACAGCATGAGAATAGGTCTTCTGTTCATACAAGCAAGACTAAACAGCTTCAAGACTTCTGCAGAAGCCATCCACCCCTCCTAGAAGCAAGCTTTATAACTTGCAGCATAATGTTCAAGGACTTAAAAAAGGTATTTTTTAAAATCAGTTATTTGCAACACCTTCAGATTCTTACCTTGGAAACTACAAGAAAGATGGTGTATAGAAACATAAGGTTGTGTCTTGCGATTGGCAAGTACTGGCTGTGCTGCAGAGTGAAGAGAACTGCTCCTATCAAAGTTACCTTCACAGGACTGAAAATTAAACAAACAATGTTAATTTCTCTTTGCTACACTACTCTGACAAATTTCATGGCCTGGAAAACAAGTATTCTCAGCATGCACAACAATTATTTCTAAATAAACGAGACAAATACTTCCAGTGACAAAGTAAAAAACCACAATGTTATTAAACTATGACTTTCATTTCATACAACATTATTATGCTTGCTGCATTATAGACAAGCATCAAGTTCAACATTAATTTATACAGCCAATAAATTTCTATTTCACAAATACTCCTCAAATTAAAATACATCCTAATGCTTCTATTTAGATTCTACATACTAAGCTGCTCCTTTTCCTCTTCTCAACATGTACTTTACTGAACAGATAAATTACAAATCTTTATTACTCAGATTTGACTTAAAAACATATTCCTCCCCTATATTAGAGGAGTTAGTTATTCCAAGCAGTTGTCACAGGTGTCAAAGAGTGACCTTATTCAAGTCTCATTCCACTGTGACACTCCACCAGTTCTACAGTTGTGATCAGCTGACAGTTGGCTTGATATAGGCCTTTGTTACAGAGTTTTGTCAACATAGCTGTGTTGACTTGCAACACAGAAAGATATACATCTTTAATCTACCTTCCTCATGATGGTACTTGAGCTGACATGTATGCAGTCAGAAAACATGAGAACTTTCTGTCAAATGAAGTCATCCTACATTTTTGCTATAATGAATAACCAGTTTGCATCTTCTCAAATAATCAGAATCTTCAGTGGAAAAAGTGCTGGCAGAGAAACTAAGAATGTTCAAAGGAAGCCATATTGGTGACATTCAGAATGTGCACTAAAACCACAGATTTTACTCATGTATTTGTGGTGCTTTTCATTTTGGACGGAAGGCCGTGCTCCTCCATAATGTTCTCCAACAATTTCCAACCACTGTTTAGCCATCATATTGACTTCTTCCTATTTGGTATTCTTGCACTGCAAACCCCAAATGACCAAAAGATAGCTAAAATTACATAAGATCAACAACCAATCTTTCACAAGATAAATACCAACCATCTATTATAAACATTTCTGTTTGGGTTTCATTTTCTCTTTTTTCCCGTATTTTTAAATGTGAAGTGTCAATACAGGAAGTTATTAAAACAGCAGTTAACACATTGCATTTGTTTTTAAAAAACTTACTAGGACATCTTCAGCAGTTCATTGGTTTCAGGTTTCCACACTCCTCTCACCAACTGCTCGAAGTTGGAGATTAGACCACTACCAGCTCCTGAAATTCCAAAGATTAACAGTAAGCCTTCACTGGCATGCTACCGCTGCTGCACAGCCTACTGTTGCTCCAGCAAAACTTCTTAAACCAGGAGCCAAATATGGCACCCAAAGCTCAGACTTAAAGAGGTTAATCCAATCTTTCATATGTGCATGACTTGAGTGACCAAAAGGAAACTTCAGGGCTTCAGTTAGGAAGAACGCCAGGTTCACCTTTACACAGCAATCGGAAATGACACACTGATCACTGCAAACAAGTGCCTAACCTGATAAAGTAAATCGCTACAGAAGCTTATGCTATTCCATTCTTGTTAGCAACTAAGTACGGAGAATGTGAGTACAAAATAGGAGAATCTTCCACAACAGAAGACAGATGTGCGTTTTATATTACAGAGAGGCAAAACATAACCAGGTATTAGAAATTCTGGCCAGTAAAACTGATCTGTATCATCAACTGAAAAAGTTATACAACAGACAGATCTTCATATGAACACATGTTGTTTCCCAAAGCCCAGCAGCATTAAGCAAATAGATTCAAGATCTGCAGCACTACAACCTGACTTCTTACTTTGTCACTATAAATACAGCTGTTAGGAAGGTAGATTCCAGACAGCATGCAGGCTAGAAAAGTAATTCCTGTGTTTAAAATAAGCTCACGTTAGCAATAAAAAAAGCCAAGACAACCTGTCTTCTTCAGCCACGTGTAAGGAAAACATTTCGGAGGACACATGCTTTTGGAAAGGTTAGTGACAGCAGGAGATCTACTTCCTCATTGCCACCAACTGCCCATCCTAGAAGTCCTCACAAGACCTTCTGAAAGGATAAGATGAACTTGCCTCAAAGTCATTCAGTGTCACCCTTACCCAGGCAGAAAAGCTGCCGCACAGACTTCTCCCTTGGGGGGATAACAGGCTGTATTAGGACTATCATATTCATCACAGCAAGGAACAGTGCTAGAGTTATGCTGAAGGGCTAGGCATTTAAATACCACTCCAAAATATCATAACTCATCAGAAGAAGATGTTATGCATGTTACCTCTGGCCCAGCCCACAGCTATCATGACAAGCCAGGCATCTTCAAAATGACTGTCTGCATGCGCAACGCCAGCCACTATTTTCCAAGTCCTAGTCACTTCTTTCATTCCTGCAACCAGAAGCCGAAGAGGCAGAAACGCAAAGCACTGGTAGAATTTGTCTTGTGGGCAATAAAACACAAGATACCTGAAAATCATATTGAGAAAATCTGTTACCAGTGTTCAAATATTTCTGCTAACAAATTCACTAGATATTCCTTGAATGTGACTAGCAAAACTTGACACACTACTGACAGCTCAGTTTCTTATACTGCAGATATTAGAATGAATCTGAAATGCTTTTGAGCCTGTTTGAGCTCTTCTACCAAATCATGAAACATTACTATCGTTGTTGCCTCACTGTCCCAGCTGAGAATCCCTTAAAGTAATCAGAAGGAGCTTTAAATTTTCACAGAATATTCCAAGTCGGAAGGAACCCACATGAATCATCAAGTCCAGCTCTTGAAACTTCTTTCAGCAATGGTTCTGTAGTTTAAATACCATATTTAGATTATTCAAATTATTAAATTGCTGTCTGACTTTGTTTTTGTTTTTTTACCCCCAGAAGTAAGACAAGGTGATAAATTATGTGCTGACAGTATGCTTCCCTCTGAAAGTTGTATGGAATTACATAATTGCAGCAAGAATGCCTCCACTAGTTAGTATCACGCCAGACAAAATGCACAGCTATTTTCAAACCCATTTGAAACCCATTTCACATCTTAGTAACCACTGATTCTAGTTTTCCCAGTTTTCCAGTCACAAGTACATATTCAAAGTGTTAACAAAACAACTGAAGGTATACCTAAAATGTAATGTTTTTTTTTTTAAATCGGGTTATTTTCAAAATAAAATAAAGATACTTAACAATGAAATCCTAAGTTGACAGTAAATTGTGATTAGATTATGTGATGTTTTACTTTATCTCCTCAATTATAACCAAATTTGAATTCTTAAGCAGACAGTCAAGGTCTCCTCTAAACAAAAGTTAAAAAATAAAAACAACAAAAAACATAAGCATCTATATTAGAATAGAAATAAAGCAGCAACAATGAAGTGAAAGCAGAGACAACCTGTAAAAGACAGAAGATTACATCTTCATTTTTCTGAAAGAAATACCTGCCTCTTGGTTTAAGCTTCTGAGTTCAATCTAGTCTACCAAAGAAGTACAAGGGCTATATCTTTTCCCAGTTTTCTCAGGCAGCAAGGTAGAGATGTGCATCTCTTTCTCTAGTTCACTCCATCAAAACAACTATCACACACCAGAGCCAGAAAGAGTCAGTCATGTTTCTTGGTTTGAGATTAGAAAGTATGAGAATACTTAGGTGTTTTTCCAGAAATAATGCCTATCCTTAACAGCAGAATGCCATGATGCTCTATAGGAAAGCACAATTTATGCATTTCTTTTTGCTGCAGTGTACTAAATATCTAGAGTTTTCAGTATCACTGAAAACATATAAAGCTTTTTCTCTTTAAGACCTCCCAGACTGAAGCATACAATAGCCTTTTTCTCAAATACATGGAAGCTATTGGAATTTACAGTAATAGCTAACTATTGCTCCTACTCTATTAGTTCTAGCACTGTTTTCAATTGCTTAAATTTCTTCCTTTATCTCCTGTGGCAAATTCAATTGCCTCTGCAGCAACCAAACTTCAGCTGGTATGTCATAGATGTATATAGAGCACGCATTTTGGTGGCTACTGCAAATAGCCATTTAAGCCATGTAATCAATACACAACACTAACCAGAATTAATTTACAATTGCAAAACGAGTGTTTATGACATCAAAGCATAGATAACTGGATTGAATTCAAATTGCACTACTACTCCACCACATTTCTGCCTCTAACTTCTGTTAGTAAAGCTTGCTAACAGTAGATGTCGCTGTCCTACAGTCTATTTAGGACCATTTCTTGAGCCCAGCACAACCCCTTTCATTTTCCAGTTTTATGTGTGATCTGGGGAATTTTGGTTCATGTGTCTTGAGATCAAGAATTCAAGTTATTATACTAATGAAGAGAGAACTCAAAACTAAAACCTTAAGAAGTTTCATAACATTCACAGGTTCTCATTAAAACCTCATTTTATTTCAGCATGTCACGTTTGTCCACATTAAGCAAAAGTTACGCTCTCTTTACCTGTCCTGTCCGAGTTTCAGCTGTGACAGAATTTTTTTCTAGAGAGTATGGTATGATGCTATGTTTTGGTTCTAGGAGAAAAATAATGTTAATAACACAGTGATGTTTAGAGATGCTACTAAGCAGTGTTGTACAGAGCCAAAGCCATTGACAGTGAAGGCCCCAAGGAGATGGGAGGGAACTGAATCAGGATAGCTGACTTAAACTGACCAAGGGGATATTCCATACCATATGACATCAAGTTGTAGGAGTTTTGAAGGCCATGGGAGTTCATCTCACTCTCTTCCCCTGTTCAGGGACTAGCTGGATAGCAGTAAGGGCGTGGTAAGCAAATGCTTGCGCATCACCTGTTACCTATATTCATATATACATACATACTTTTTATTGTTGTTATTATAATTATTACTCTTTTCCTTTTCTCTATCTTAGTAAACAGTTTTACCTCAACCCACAAATTCTACTTTGTTTTTCTCTAGCCTTTCCCCCATCCCACTGGTAAGAAAGGGATTGAGTACGTGGTGCTGAGCCACCTGCCAGGTTAAACCACAACAGCTCATTTGGCACCCAACATGGAGCTTCTCACAGGGATTGGAGTGACTACAGGGCTGGCTGTGAGGATCACAACACCTGCAGGGCCTGTCAGAAGGGCTATAGTAACTGCAGAGTCTGTCACAAGGGAGTCAGAGCAACTGCAGGACCTTTTACAGGAGCTGGAGCGGCCACAGGGTCCATTGTAACAGTGGGAGCAGCCACAGAGCTTGCTGGAGGAACTGGGACAATGCAGCTCCTTGGGACCTTTGCTGTGAAGATTCTTGGCTCTGTACAACACTGCTTAGCAGCAACTACAACCATCAGTGTATTATCAACATTGCTTTTCTCCTAGAACCAAGCCACAGCACCATACCAGACACTGAAGAAAACCATTTTGTCCCACCTGGGAATAAGACACCTCCTAACTCAAGTATTATTTGTTAAAAGTGTCTAATATAAACCAGAAGCTGATTCTGTAAATATTTTATCAATACACATTTAATTGTAGGCTATTCATCTCACTGATCTGCTTAAATTTGTCTGCATCTTCCACTACAAACCAGAAGACTAACACAGATACACTCATGTAGATGTAAACACTTATTTTCATTTCTATGGTTTGCAATTGTAAAACTTAAGAGGCAACAAGGAAGGATTTCAAGCAGCTAATACTCCTGTAAAATAGGAATCCACTGCTGCTCACAAATTTTGTTAAATTTGAGGATTCCTTTCAAGATCAGAGCAACAAACTGATCTTTCAAACAACTGACTTCCACTGCAGTGTACCTTCACATGAAAATATTTCCAGTACTATTTACAAACTACAAAACAGGCCAAATTACTGCCATGTTCACATACCTGACTTCCCATTCAGCTCTCTATTGGCTTTCACTATAACCCCATCCTTTTAGGAAAGCAATATGGGAAAGGGCAAAAGACAGAAAAAAAAAGTCAGAAAGAAGACACAGGAAGAGAAAAAAGAATATCCATGTCTTAGCTCCCCAGCTGAAAAAAGTTCAAGAACTTTATTTCAATCATGTTCTGGTCTTCAGAAGTTACCACTGAAAATACCAGATGGCATTTATGACCTCTCTGTATCCAGGGAAGCAATAACTGAAGTCTGTTTTACTCTGGATAATCTGTTTGACAAGGAACACCATAAAAATATAAGGAAAATGTAGTGACTTAGTTATAAAGCAATTTGTAAGAGTTGCTCTTTTTGAACATTTCATTTCTACAGAAAGGGTTCAAACCAGCTGTTTTGCTGCAGTGACTTCTCTGGTGAAGAGAGAGCATCTAAATTCATCATATTTCTAAGTTAAGATTATATCATCAAGCTTACCATTTACAGTCAAGTACAGCTTCCTCAGAATAAAAACACTCACGTCACTCAATTGTGGCTGCTTACCAGACTGAAGATGCCAGTAGAATATTTGTGGTCTTTGCCAAAAATGCTACTGGAGGTTCTCCAAGCATCAAGGAAGACAAAACAGATCCACCAAAGCAGCAAAGCATAGCACTAAACCAGCAAGCAACTGGACTGCGGATTGACACTTCCACAGCTCCTAAAGCAAAGAGAAAAGATATGTAAACAGAAGCAAACACTTGAAAATCGTGTTACATTTGAAAAAACAGTATTTTTTAAGACACACAGTCTTGCACGGTTCCTTTGGATCACGAAAAACCATACACAAATCTGCAAGCCTTCACAGAAGAAGTCTTTGCTAAATGCAAACTTTCTACAACATGAAGTGTACACTATCTATAAAAGTGAAAAAATGACTCAGTATTCTCTTAGCATTTTTTGTGGGTTGGTTCAGCCTAACTACTTTGCTACCAGTAACAGCTTTCAAAGTGTGGTCTGAGAGGGTTTGTTGTTTAAAATTTGTTGTAAAGCTGCTTTTGAATTTTTATTAAGAATACGTAATTGCTTTGCTGACGAACAGGACTGGTATTAATACAGCTACTTTCTGAAGATTGTTCTACAACTTCTACTTCTGCTATGAATTCAAGTTTTTTCCTCTTAAAACCCTCCTAACAACGTTCACTGGGTAAAATAAAAGCACAACCCAAAGTAATTAAGCAACTATTGTTTTACCTGCAGTCCTGAACAGGCAAAAATGTTTGCCCAAAGACATAGAATAAATTTAAGCTTCACTTGTTATTAAAAGCTTCACTGTTTCATCTTTAAAATCTTAAAAATTAATTGCTTTTTAAATTGCAATTCAACCATACCAGAAGAGTTTTCAATAGCAGAAGATTATGCTGGAGTAAAGAAAAAAGGAATCTTTAACCATTTCTAAGGGGAAAAAAACACTTTATCAAAGCCAAAAATATCTTGAAATCATTGTTTTTATTTTCTTCCACTTCAGGAGCTCGCCACTTTCAAATCTCCCCCTTTAGAAGGAGGTAGGGCTCAGTTTGTCTAAACTAACTGTATTTTTTGTAGTCCAAATGCTAAAGGTCACAAAAGCAAAGATGAAAACTAGTGTCTGCCCCAAAGTGAAATGTAGCATTTGGCTAATGATAAAGCAGAATTATTTTACAAGAATTCTACGGGAAAAGAAGGTTCTTATCAAAAACGGGATGTGTAAATGTATCAGGGAGAATCAGAGAGCACTCTCACTACAACTCACTTTAGACAAGACTATCAACAATACTGCTCCAGTTTTAAGTGTTAGTGCAGTATTACAGCACAAGGAGATCACGTATAGAAGAAGCATCCCAAATTTTACAGACTAACAAGAAAAACTTGGATGATGGCAGCAGCCACCATAAATCACAAATCACTTGGGATCACGCGCCACAAGGGCACAAGGCTGTTAGTAAATATATGTCAGCAGTTGTGCTATGCACTACTTCAATTCCTGGCCTGATGTAATACTAAATGTAATCTGCACAGTGATCTGTTTTTGGAGCAAGACTGGTAATCACGTTATCACAGGAGGTTCCACACACAAGAATTGCTATCCTCCAGACCAGGTGCAGAAGAAATCTCTTATTTTATCCATCATCAGGTGGGCCTGCACCAACCTCTCCTTCATTAGCACAATGCTTCTCACCTGGCATTAGCAGAGAAGTAATCATCTTAACATCTTACTTGTGACCTCCTGGAAAATACTGAACTGCGCTCCTCCCTCCCCTAGGCAAGCACAGCTGAGAGCTAGTGAAAAGAAAGCCTCCTTCACCTCACCAGGTGTTTGGCAAGATTACTGACTGAAGGAAAGGAAACCATTGCAGGTGCTGTGTCTTCCTGAAAAAATAGGATTTTACTGATGATCAGTAGGAGAATTTTCTTAGTTAATATATCACTATACAAGTAAAAAGCAAAATAAGTTTATCCCAATTTAAAGCCTATATTAGCACCTAAATTACAAACGGGATGTAATTTTCAGAAAATAAATGGAGTTTTAAGTAGGTCACGTATTTTTTAAACAAGGAGTCATTTATTTTTGTCCTCTAGTGCACCATGAAAAACTAATGAGGCATCACTCAACCATGCAGGATATTATCTGCCAAAAGGCCACCAGTCCTGCAAATGGTGTATTTTAGAAAGCAGAGATAAGGTTTCAAAATACAAAGATTATCATTGAATGCAGTTTTAAATATTATTTCTAGATGATATTAATAAAAAGCTTTGCCAGCTTATTCTGTAAGTAGGTTAAGATCTGCTTTAGGCTTCCTAACGTGTTCTAAACAGGCAAACAAGAATATATACCACAATACATCTAAAGATCAAACTAGAAGCACTTCTAGAAAAGTTTTCCCACCATTCCAGTTGAACTGTACATACTGTGAATTAGGCTAAAGCCAGACTTAAGCCAAATTTTTCTAAGATTTAGAAAAAGGGTGCCAAAAGCATTAGTTCTCCTCACATAACTTGGATCCCATATCAGAAGACTTTCAAGACCAAAACTAGCCCGTTCCTTCCAAACGCTACATTTCCACAATCCTCAATTTCTGTTTTCTTCTGTTCCCCTTTCCTTCTACCTCCTCCAAGAAAATATGACCCTAAACTTACCATCTGGACTTACAAGCGGTTGGTTAAGCAACCCCAAATGTACTGAGCAAGAAATCTTAGCTTAATTGATGCACAAAGCAACATACTGGTTGTCTCTGCTGTAGTTCATCAGTACTCACTAGAGAGGAAGAAAATCTAGCTAGAAAGACTGGGAAAATTCCCAGTTAGTACGTGCACATCCATCATAAAAATACACCTAACCTGTTGTTAGGCAGTTAGTAATTTAATGAAATGCCAACTGAGATAAACAAACTTAGCTGTGACATGACTACATGCTTCCTGTGCCAACAGACACTTAATCGCTACCCAATTATCCATGTGTGGAAGAGAAATTTCTGAGAACACACAGAGCAGTGCTGCAGTGGCACAGGCTGCCCAGGGAGGTGATGGAGTCACCATCCCTGGACGTGTTCAAGAATCGCGTGGACACGGCACTGAGGGATACAGTTGATGGGCATGGTGGGAAGCGTTGGTGGTTGGATGTGAACATCTTGGAGGTCTTTTCCAGTCTTAAATCATTCAGTGGTACAATATTCAAACTGTCTGCAAGCAAGCAATAAACCAGCATGCAGTCACTGTAATTAGTTATTAATTCTGAGTATTAGGGTATACTCAAAAGCTCTGAACTTTACAGCTACAAGGTTGAAAATTAAATTTAAAAAAAAGCACAAACCATCACTTTTGCTGTCCTGAGGTTATGTCCCATTGAAGCTACACTACACTCAGCACAGCACTGCAGAGCAACTCCTACTGCTCAACTCCTCTCATGGGTGTTCATTCCGAAAGATAGTCTGAAGGCAATGCATTTTAACAACCTTTACATAGACAGCTCCTTAGATAGAAAGTTGCAGAAATGTACTGAAGTGTTGTGTGTCAGCACCCAGAAACAACTTCAGCCGTAGCAACAAGCCGTGGTGAAGATGCCAGCACTTTTGGTTGGCCTTCACTGCCTGTTAAGTGCACTTATGCAGCAAGAGGTAAACATTCACCTAGACACGCTTCACGAGTGACCTAAGAATCAGCTCTCAGTAAGCACACAGAGCGCTGCAGCTCCCAGTCAGCTCCACAATCCACAACGCCAGATCCGTTTCCTGCACGGTTATCAGCCCGAAGTCACTCCACAGGTGGCTACGCTAACACAAGGCGGTCTCTATGCTTAGGACAAGGACAAGGGGGATCTGGGGATAACAGTGACAGTGAAGGCGACGTGCTGGAAAAGAGCAAGCGGGGGCTGAAGCGTCGTCCCGACGTGCGCCACACAGACCGCCGTGGGACGCCTCTCCCATGCCGGGGCACAGCGCGACCCGCCCCGCTCCCCGCGAACCCCGCGCCGCTCACCCCGCTGCTCCTTCAGCGCCATGACGGAGGCCATGTAGTGCGCCAGGTCGAAGAAGGGGAACATGGGCAGGCGGGAGAAGAGCAGCGGCACCTGCTCCAGCTCCATGGCGGCGGGCGCTTGGGAGAAGCGTGGCCCTCGCCGGGAGCCGTCGGAGGGCGGAGCGGCGGTGCGCTGGGCCGGGTCTGATGCCGGGGGGGGGAGGGGGGAGAAAGTCCGCCTGTGAGCTCGCTGCTTTCCTGTTGAACTTTATTTGCTCTCGATTTTTTTCTTTCTGTGCTTGAGCGCAGGCATGAAAACCAGTTATTTTCTAGAGCAGCATATTGCTTTCCACAGCTGACAGGAGGTGATACATTAGTAGCTGCATCCTCTGGCGGAAAGCGGGTCGGTATGGTTTTGTCTCCCGCTGAGCGTTGACGTGTTCCTATGCAGCAGCAGAGGGTTTCCTGGCAGGGTGTTCTGCCCACAAGCTGTGGAAGTTGCCGTACCATTTCTGCTCCTTGCAGTACTGCTTCATGCCACGGAGCGGCACCGGCCTCGTTACCAGCAGGTGGGATCAACGAGAGCCAAATGTTCGGCAACGACCGCAGCAAAAATTGGGTGACGTGAAAGAAAATGTGGGCCAGCGACACGTGCGTGGTGGCAATGTTTACACCGCAGACATGCGTGCTGCTGTGCCTGCCCTTCACTTAAATAAGCTCAGCTGTTCTGAAATGGTAGCACACCTACTCATCTTTTCATGCCGCACCTCTGACAGCAGCAGCGCCTGAGTTACTCAGGTCCTCACGTACACGGCATCCTCTGCTGGGGGTTTTGCTGTCAGTATAACAAGATGGCATTAGTTTATAAGCTAGTTACACTCTGTGTATTATTAAAACATTGGCTTAGTGTTTTTTTGATTTTAAACTAGGAGGTCTCCCCTCATTTCTTGTGGGTGAGATGATAAAAGGAATATTGTGTTTATAAGAAATTTTAAAATGGGCTGATGAGTATTCTGCTGTGTTCATAGAATCATTGAATGGCTTGAGTTGGAAGGGACCCCAAGATCATCAATTTCCAACCCTCCTGCCACTGGAAGGGCTGCCAACCTCCAGATCTGGTACTAGACGAGGCTGCCCAGGGCCCCATCCAATCTGGCCTTAAACACCTCCATGGATGGGGCATCCGCAACCTCTCTGAGCAGCCTTTTCCTGCACCTCACCGCTCTCTCTGTGAAGAACTATACCCTTGCATCCAATGTAAGGCTTCCTTCCTTATGCTTAAAACTACTGCCCCTTGTCGTATCAGTGTCTACCCTTGTAAAAAGTTGATTCCCCTCCTTTTTATAATCCCCTTTTAAATACTGGAAGGCCACAGTGAGGTCTTCTCAAAGCCTTCTCTTCTCCAGGCTAAACAGGCTCAGCACCCTCTTTGCAGGGCAGGTGCTCCAGCCCTCTAATCATCTTAATGGTGCTCCTTTGCACCCTCTCCAACAGCTCCACGTCCTCTCTTGTACTGGAGGCCCCAGACCTGCACGCAATACTCCAGATGAGCTTCACAAGGGCAGAGTAGAGAGAGACAATCACCTCCCTGCCCCTGCTGGCCACCCCTCTTGTGATGGAGTCCAGGATACCATTGGGATTCCATGGTGCATGAGGTGTAAATCTCAACATATAATAATAATAATAATAATAATAATAAAAACAGCAACAACAAAGAAAAAAAAAGCAGTAGCTCTGCATCCACATATGCCAAAGTTTTTTGTTTTTTTTTTTTTTTTTTTTGCAGAAGTATGTTGGCTTTTTTTTCCAGTACAATAATGATAAATTAATAGAAATGTTTTCTGAATTTTCTTCAGAAAACATTCTAGCTATTTATGAAGTTGCCACATTTCTACTTACAAAACAGCTGTGAAAGTCTGAGGTATCACATGCTTGTCTGCTGTTCTTGACAGCTGCTTTACTTCATGTTATAACTGATCCTGGACAGACAGTTGTTATTAGTCCATTCCAATCAAAGCTAAAACCATTATGTAACATTGGGCAGTAGCAGAGTGAAGTGGTGAAGAAAACTGGTTTCAAAGTGAATTCAAATCCACATCTTTAGTCTTTGTAGAGCACGAGATTAGTTAGTTGTTATTCTGTACATCTTACAAAAGCCATGGAGAATCTGAACTAGAGTATTCATACCCAATTAATAATGTTGTATTCATTTCCTTTGGCAATTAAGGTGGTATAATTTTCGAAGAGAAGGTCTGTGTTCCTAGCTTGGAAGCACGATCTGGTTTCCTGCTTCTGCAGTTAATGCTGTATATGGAATATGCTTATTTAGTATTGTATTCCTTAATGTCTGGGATTCTACAGACACTGGCTTGGAATTGAAAGATGGTACCTTAGGAAAAGAGGAGAACTTATTTAATCATTAGATTGAAAACTTGCACCCCGCTTTCCAAAACCAGGCAAATAGAAATGTTCATATTCTGTGGACTGCTATATTTAGTTTATTCACCTTTCTTAGATTTTTCAAACTCAAATCTATTAAGCAAAATCAATCCAGGTTAAAATCTGGGTCTTTGCTACATACAAAAATGGACACTCCCACTGTCTGCCATCACTCTGCTTTGCTCATGATCTGTGGTCGTTTGCCCACAATGCTATCTATCTTTCATAGAGTCATAGAATCATAGAATGGCCTGGGTTGAAAAGAGTCACAATGATCATCCAGTTTCAACCTCCCTGCTATGTGCAGGGTCGCCAACCACCAGACCAGGCTGCCCAGAGCCACGTCCAGCCTGGCCTTGAATGCCTCCACATGGGGAGGCATTCCCCACCATCCATTCCATCCACAGGGATGGAGCATCCACAACCTCCTTGGGCAACCTGTTCCAATGTGTCACCACCCTCTGGGTGAAAAACTTCCTCCTAATATCTAACCTAAACCTCCCCTGTGTCAGTTTAAAACCATTCCCCTTGTCGTATCATTATCCACCCTCATAAACAGCTGCTCCCCTAAGAAGATCTTTGTCCTCTTCCTGTTCAGTTCCCCATTTGCTCCATAGTTCTCTGCCTCACTTGTATTTCCCTCACTTTCCCAACAGTCACTTATCCCCCTCAGGCTTCTTACTTTGATTTTCTAGTACATTTTTATCTCCTTCCTCTCTCTGTTGCACCCTATTTCTTTCATTATGATTCTTCACAGCTGTATCCCAGCTTTCCTTATTTTCTTGTTTGATCCGTGCATTTAGTCATAGTTTAGTACAGGTCTCAGCCTCCCATTTCACTCAGAACTTCATCTGTTCATCTGTGAGGTCTTTTTTACTTCTCTCTTCTGCAAGTTTTTAACGAATGCATGAATGCTGAGGCTATACCTTCTCTGTGGAGCTTCAACCTTCATAATAAGCTGTGCAATCACTCTCCTTCTTTTCCATACTCTTTCTCCACAGGTCACTTTCTCATGTCTCTCTTAAGTTTTTGTTTGTTCAATGTTTGCTAAAGTGCTTTGATAAAAATACCTGCAAGGAGAAAGCTCAGGAAGTTAGCACAGACATTTATTCCCTAACATAACATCACTTTATTTTCCTGGAGTGCTGGTTGATGCAAATCTGTACTAGGAAGCGGAGGCACAAAAGTGTTTCTTATCTGAGTAACAGAGTTACTCCGTGCATGAGTGCTCATCCCTGATTAGGTTTCAGCACTGGACTAAGCATCTGCATAGTCCATCGTGTGCTTTAATGAGCTGTGCTTATAGAACAGAGTTGATTTCTAGAGTGAGCTTGAACTCATACTCCAACTCCAGATGTATCACTGGATGTTTTCTTCACAGGACTTAAACAGGTTGCAACACTGCTCACAGAACTACAGGGTGGCTACGGTTGGAAGGGAGCTCAGGAGAACATCTGGACCAACCTCTGCTCAATGGCCACCTAGAGTAGGTTAAGGGAAAGCTCTTGTGCTTTCAGAAAGGTGTCCTTAAAGATCTGTCAGTGCAATTCCTATATCCCTAAGAACAGCTTCCCAGGTGATCGCATGCAATAATTCCTTAAATAGTTTAAAGTTTGCTGTCCGGAAGTGCAGGTCCTGCCTCTGCTCTTTGCCAGACCATGAACTCATTTCTGAAGGCCATGAACTCAACCTGCGTATGATCACGGCAGCCCAATCTTAGCCTCTTTAATGCTCTCCTCCACACTGGTGAGCACCAGGTCCAGTAACACTTCACCTCTTGTTGCTCTGTCTGATGCCTGGACCAGGAAGTTATCCTGGAGTCTCTTGGCTTGCTTGCAACCATGTTGCTTTTCCAGCAGATATGCAGCGGTTGAAATCCCTCATCAGGATGAGAGCCTGTGAGCATTCTTGTAGCTAAAACAAGAAGGCCTCGTCAACAGGCTCCCCTTGGTCAGGCATCCTGTAGTAGGCCCAATCACCAGATGTTCTTTCTTGGTCTGATCCCTATTTTTAACCCAAAGTTCTCAACTTAATCTTAGCTGCTTTTCAGAGGGAGCTCTTTGCTGTCTGTCTACCTCTTGACATAGAGGGCACTCACCCCTCCTACCCAGCCTATCCTTTATAAAAAAGCTTGTTGCTTTCAGTCATCATTGTATGATTCATTTTACCATGTTTCTGTGACAGAAATTAGGTCATAGTTATCTGTCATGGTTTTGTGATTTTTGGCTTTCCAAATTTCACATCATAACATCACGTGGGGCGCTGGGAGTTTAACTGTTAATGCTCAAGTCCTGGGTACCTGCCCAGAAGAGAAGAAGAACTACATTCCCCAGGGGACCTTGCGCTCAGGGAGAGGAGATACAAGTCCTGGCAAGGTCAGCTGATGCGCTCTTTTTCGTCTGCTCTTCATGGTCGGCTCTCGTCCTGTCTCCCTGCTGCTCAGGCGGACTGTGCATCTCACCTCAGCGTTGTGGTGAGGCCTACCCACCTTTCGGACATTCTCTCTCTCATTATATTTGATTTATTAGCTTCAATTCTCATTATATTTGATTTATTAGCTTCAATTCTGATTATATTGTATTATAGTGTGCTATCTTGCATTCTGATACTATACTTAGTAAATTAGTTTGTTTCTCCTCAGATTGTTGCCGCTGTTTTTAATTATTTTGGGGTCCCCTGTTCCCTTTTTCTGGAGGCTCGGCTGTGAAATCCCTCCGCCCCGCTGGTCACGGAACTGGGCCGAACCAGCTCGTAAACCGTTGACATAATGTAACTGCACCATGGCTTCTATTTCATACTGCTTATACTATACTATACTTCCTATACTATACTATGTACTTCCCAGGCACTTCTGCTGGGCTTCTTGGGGGAGTTTTTCCCCTTTGCTTCCTAAAGCGATCGGGTTCCCTGGCTCTTCCCTGTCACTCAGAGAATTTACTTCCCCCATCAAATCTAGTTTAAAGCCCTGCTATATACATTGTATTTTTTGTGTTGGATGCATCATCAGGGCAAAAGTCCAGACCTTTAAAGTTGATTGGATATCAGAGGGTTTTAGATGTTCAGTACTTTCCAAAATCTGGCCTCGAAGAAGCAGAGGATCTGGGATTACTTTGTCTCAGATATCATGCTGTTTGTTTAATGGAATGTATTTATGTACAATGTAGCATAGGTTATAAAAACACTGGTTTGGCTCATGTCTTATAAGCTTAAGTATTTATACTATAAGTATTTCCCAGGAAAAAGAAAAACAAATGAGATTTCCATGTGAAATCCAATCAACATGTAGTAATTTCAGAAAGTGTATTTTTTTCTATTTACACTTACTATGTTAATTTTGCCTTTCTGATTTTTTTTTTTTTTTTTTTTTTTTTCTCCTTTGCTTAGTAATTCCACTCAATATTTTGTTTACTGCTAGATTTGCTAAATACTGATTTACATGTTGTAATGCATGACATGCTCAGCAAACAAGATCTCAAGATACAGGGGAGCACTGCTGGCAAGGTAATAGATGTCTTCTGCCCTATCAAATATCTTAGATGTAATGCTTTCCCTGAAACATTGTACAAATACAGCTGAGCTGAGATGACAGCTTTAAGACAGTCATTTTTACTCTTCCATTTGTTTTCATAAAATGTTGCCCTAACACATTCCGTTTAGGGCTGTAGGACTGAACAGTCTGCTTTGCAGGAGAAATGAGAGCCATGCTACTTAAGGTGGAGTGCAGAACAAATATCTTCCTTAAATTTCCCGTTTTCTCTCCCAGCAACAAATAATTTATCTTTAGCAGAGGAAAGAATTGTCTCTCAGAAACCACCATTCTGAATTTCTGCCTGAAGTCGGTGCAGAAAAAAAGTAAACAACAACAGACTACACTTTAATATTTTCAAGACGTTTCTGTTCAGTGTGTGAAAATGCGTATTGGGAAGCAATGATGTAGAAGGACCTAGAATCCTCATTGTTGACTGCTGACAGGATGGTAGGCAATGGGCATGAATTAAAAACTTAAAACACATCTGAGCACAAGAAAAGACTTTCTTACTGTGGGGGGTGAATAAGCATGGAAACAGATTTCCTATAGACGTTACAAACCCAGTCTGTGGAGATTCAAAATCCGACTGACACAAGCTCTTGTGGGTAACCTGCTCTTGGTGGCATGGCTTGAGCAGGAGTGCTGAAACAGACAATCTCAGGAGGCCCCTAGCAATCTAAACAATTCTGTGATTTTATGATTGCCTAAACTCTACAGTAAGGTTGCTTTTATCTTGGAAACAGATTTTCTCTATTCTTGAAGAACAGTTTCCTCAGCAATTTCAATTACAGCAAAGATAATGCTGGTAAAACAAAGCTAAAGCAAAGAGATGTGGGCAGCTTCTGCAGCGGTGACTCCTATTTGCAGTTGTGTGTGCATGCCTGAAAACGCATTGCCCATTATTCAATAATTTTTGAGTGCAGCCTTAGTCTAGTTGAACAGATGAGGTTGTATCAGAAGCTGTCTAGTGCCATAGCTACCACCTGACTAACAATCCGCGGACCATACTTCAACTACTAGATTCTGGGAAGGATTAGTTAAGGAGAAAGAAAGGCAACGTTCAACAGGAAACAGACTTCCCATTGTGTGCTTTCATTGTATATTCTCCGTGCTCCCTTTTCTGCTCAGTAACGCAGTCCAGTTTGGAACACTCTAAGTTGTCAAGAGCAGCAAGGGGTTACCCAAAGTGTGCTTTATCTGACAATACAGACAGCTTTTTTTGTTAACTAGCTTGAACCCATTAGACAATGCTGTGTTTCCCCCTCCCACACCCTCAATCCTGTCCTCACCACCCTCATCCCCAGCCTGGCTCACCCTCCACAGATCCCTTACAGTGTTTGGGTTCATGAAGTACAAATTAGCATAATCAGATTAGCTTCATGGGGTTGTAGAGCTGAAAAGGAGGAAAAAGAAAAAGTGGTTCACAAAGAGAAGCCCTAAGGAGGGCAGAAGGGGGTGATATTGCTGTTGTGCTGTGGTGCTAAAAACTTGCACCTGCATAGCAAGCAGATCCTCTTCTCACTAAGGACTCTTAGATGGTATTAAAGCATAGGAATTAATTGGGGGGAGGAGGAGGAGAGGAGGAGAGGATGGGAGGGGAGGGGAGAATTCTGTAAATTGATTATCTGTTTTGGGAATGAAGGTTTGCTGACAGTAGAAAATATTGATTCCTTTCATCATGGAGAGGAGATCAGTTTGGTAATCTGGACTATCAAGATAAGAGCTTTAGAATCTCTGCAAGAGACTGATAAGAGACATTGTAGGAAAAAAGCCTATTGAGTGGGGGGTGGTGGAGTGTGGTGGGGATTTTTATTGCTTTGGTTTTTGTTGTTGTTTTTCTTGTAGTGAACTTGCATTGCTAAAATTGGTAACTAACCTGCTTGATTGCCTTAGTGCCTGCCCTATTTAGCACCTTCCTGCTCTTGCTGTGAAAAGAACCTTCCTACAGAACTGAAGACACAAATCCATAGTCACAGGTTTTAAAAGCAGCTAGAGACTATGCATTTTTATATACACAGAAAGCAGTATGAAATCACTGACTTAGTAAAAGTCTTCACATGCCTTCCAGAGCTGCTTCTGCACAGCCAGCTGTTCCATGTGGATTCACATTCATCTTTCTGAGGTATCTTAAAAGCACACATGGTCAGAAATTACAAGGTAAACCATAAAAGCTCCCTACCCAGAAAGCACCCCAAAAAGCACTCATGACAACCCTGAAATGTTTTAAGTTGAGCCCTCAAGATCAGGAGTTTTATTGTGAACCTCAGCCTTAGACTTCAGTACTTCAGAGGCAGGATAAAAGCAAACATAAATATCAGAGGAAGTCAAGCTTTCAGGCAGTATTTATGACAAGCGCATGGCTGATGCAAACCAGTAGATTTCAAGAAGAAATACTATTTGTGCTTCTATTTACCTTAACAGCACATGGTTGAGAACTGTTCAAAGTGTTTAAATGATGTAGTGAGAAGAAGTAAAGAAACGTGTTGTTTTTTTTTTATCATTTTACCATCATTTTCACTTATTTACCTTTAGAAGTAGGCAATCAATATATCAAACGTATAACAAAAACATAAAACGTATTAAGATATTAAAAATATAATTAATACTTTTATGTATTGTTTCAGCTGCCTGTGCTGCTGGAAAACACTCTGGAAATGTTTGAAATTAATAGGAGTCTCTGCATAGAGCTTTCTGAATTACCTGACAACTTGATTTATTTACTAAGTGTAGCAGAAATGAAATGATAGTGTTCTGTTTTGATGACATATACATAAGTAACGCAGAGGAAGTCTATGCACCCACGAGACAAGTGTGCCAGACATATAAGATTCATCATACATGCTTTCTCTCACTTTCAAAGGTATTTCCTTTTCATTTTTGTTATTTTTCTTTTCCCTTCATCTGAAAGAAGAATTAAAGACAAAATTTGCACATGACTGAAGTGAGCTTTAGCAAAGGTCCAATAGATGATGAGAGGAATATGTATACAAATGTCTTCTAATCTGCTCACCAGATCAAAGTAGATTGGTAAAATTTGTCTGCTAACACTGCCTGTAATGAGTGTTTCTCCTCATGCCCATATCCAGGTGTTGGGGAACACCCATTTGCATTGTATCTATGCAGAAACGTGTCCTTTGAGACTGGAATATCCTCTGCCAAATGCTTTGGCTGGGCATGTTCACCCCACAACAGCTGGCAGCTCTTCTGTGTGTGAAAACACAGAGAAAAGAGGAGCCAGAAAGGGCAGCTCGCTTCAGCACCAAGTTATTTCTGCTGCCTTTGCAGCAAAGGGAACATTTCCCACCCGAAGCAGTGCCAGTGCTGAATGCTTTTGGCAAACACAGCCTGCCAGGCTCACTTGCTCTGGTGCGCCAGCAGCCATCCTCACATTTGGCAATGGGCTTTTCCCATTCAGAGTGACAGAGATCACATCAGAAACTGTTACTCAGCTCTTAATAGGGCCAAATACTTTCTTCTGAAACATTTGTTACCCTACAGGCAGTAAAATACAGTCAGTTGGCCTGAATTTCTATGCCTAGTTTACTAGGTCTAATAACCTCCTTCCAGTCTGAGTATTTTTAGCCATTGTAGATTCCTCTTTGAAGTCCTCATATCTTTCCAGTATGTGTAAACCCTTTTAAAGCTTGAGTTTAATAATGTAGCCTTGAATCTAGAATTTCTGTAGATCATATTTCAGCTGGTTATATACCTACCTATCAGAACACAGTAATCCTCTTTGATCTGATGAAGATTTAATATTGATTGTTCCTAGCCTCTCTCAGCTCCTGGACATCTAACGTTTGCCAAAACCAAGAGAAAACGAATGCTATAATCCAACTCCACCATTAACAATGATCTGTATCCTGGGTTCACCCCTGTTCAGCATTGACAGGTTTCTTAAGCATCATACAGAGGTATTTCATGGCTAACCTTGAACAGTGTGAAGGCTCTTCCCCAGGTCTGAGCTATTCAGTGTTGTTCAGAACTAGCCAGGTGTAATGGAACAGAAAAGTGGGGTCCTGAGAAACTTCTTCCCTCTACCTGTGAATACCTCCCTGCTTTGCTTGCCAACACAAAAGTTGGAAGACACATCTGAAGCCCAACGTAGTCCATACTGAGACCCTAAACAAGGACTTCTTCCTACCCTTCATCCTGAGCCACCCCTATGCTCTTTTGTGACACTGACACTCAGCAGAAGAATTGCATACGCAGAATTTTAGAGTCATTAAAGTCGGAAAAAAACTCTAAAATCATCTAGATCAACCATCCATCTACCACTAATATTGTCTGCTAAACCATGTCCCCAAGTACTACATCTTATACTTTATACATCTTATACTTTGCTTAAAGACCTCCAGGGATGGTGACTCCATCACCTCCCTGGGCAGCCTGTTCCAGTTCTTCCTAATAACGTGAATCTCCCCAGCTTGAGACCATTCCCTCTCATCCTATCACTGTTATCTGGGAAACGAAGACAACCTTGCCACAACTCTCTTTCAGGTGAGTGTAGAGATCAATAAGGTCTTTCCTGTGCCTCCTCTTTAGTCTGAACAATCCCAGTTCTCTCAGCTGCTCTTCATAAGATTTGTGTTCCAGGCCTTTCACCCAAAAGATGGCTGCTCTTTGTCTGTGTTTTTGCCAGAGGGATCTCTTTCCAGAAGATGCTAAAGCTGGAACTTAGCAGAGGACCCTCATTTGTGCACTATTGGTTTTGCAATATGTGGCAGCAAAACAAACCATGGAGGGTTGGGATATGCAGTTGTTCACACGCATAGGAAGGGGGCTGGCGGAGAATACAATGGGATGAGTCTGTTTCTCACAGAGAAGACCTGGACCGACCCAGAGTGTGTTGAAAACTCTAGGGTTAGCTTATCAACAGCACAATGATGATAAATCCAAGCAGATGCATTTCTTGATCAGATACAGGGTAACCTGCCTACTTTCTGTTACCTCTCCACTTGTTTGAGCTTCTTCGCTTATATCCACCTTCCCCCTTTCAATTCTCATAGCAGCTGCTGCACTAAAAATACAATTATATCCCTGAAAACTGATGGATTTCTATTCTGACACTTTGTCTTTGGCCTTTAGATTTAAGATTGGCTCTCAAGTGACCTCTGCCCCACAGGTCAGTAGTTAAGTCGCCTATTCTCTCCACCTCTTTTCATCACCCAGCCTTCAAAGGACAAAAGTCAGATCTGCCTTGCTCACACTACTTTAGCTATGGTCACTGCATATCATTCTCTAGCAGCAGATAAATTCATGGGAGACAGTTAGATATGGGAAAGTAAATTATTAAATGTTTCCTTAATTGTGGGTCTCTGGAACACCTTGGTGCTGCATCTTCTACTTCGAGCTCAGAACAAGATGCTGAGATGTATCTTAGTGTCCTAAATAACACCTTTTTGCCATTTATGTTGGCTGATTCAGGAATCATGTGAGTCTCCCTTAAGTCCACTGTAGCCTCATCCTCGCTGATTTAGGCTCACTACAACTAATAAGGCTGCTGAGTGCATGTCTTACTGCAAAATTGTCCCAATCTGAACAACAACACATCTAGGTTTAAGAAAAAAAAAGAAAAAAGAAAAAAAAGCACCATCCAGATCTGTGTATGCATTGCACAACATGCAGTGCTAGATGCAGAATGTTTCATGTCAGCTAGGATTTGAATCCACTGAATCCCAGGACAAAACCCTGACTTTATGCCTGGCCTCCCTCTGACCACAGGCTGGCCCTCACTAGAATTCACACAACACTAGAGCCTTCTTGCAAGACATGGTCTTAGCACTTTTCTTCCTTTACTCAACCCCAGTCTCTAAGGAGTCTTCAGTTACGATCCATAGGCACGAAGCAGATACTGAGAATGTGGAAGACCAAATGATGAACACAAGTCTGGACAACAGGCTTGTTCTTAGGGGTGCTGTGGTTAACTTAAACTTCAGCTTCACTGGCAACAGTTCCCCTAGGTTCTACAATAGCAGAAGAGTGCCACTTCTCTACTGGCAGCCCTGGCAGCCACCCTCTGTAAAAGGTAATCCTCATTCAGTCTGAAATGTGGAGATATATTCTTCTGTTGATCTTCATGGAAATTCTGAGTAAAGGAATGATTCATCAGGATTTCTGCTTCACAAAGGCATGTGAGGACTCCTCACTCCACTCAAGCTAGCATGTACCATGAGTTGGAGAGAAACATAACTTATTTTTTAACCTTGCATTTGCTATCTGGAGACACCAAAAATTTTCTATAAGATGACCACCTTAATTAGTTTTCCATGCAGTATTAAGAGCCATGTTATTCCCCTTACACCTCTCCCTCCTCCCCCTGTCCCCCCAAAAAAGGAAAAAAGTGCCACTCAACCCACTTTAGCACTACTAGATACCTGTAGGAGACACAGTAGGGATCTTACTATTAGGGACTATTACTGTAAACCTTAGTATAAATGACTATTATGTCATTTATACTAAGGTTTTGCCACTGCCAAGATATGTGAGAGATGTTTTCAGCCAGCTACAACTGATGTGGTAGATCTCCATGCCACAGGAGCCATTATCTTCCCAGACAATTTTGAGTGTACCAACCAGTGTGGCATTACCTGCAGCAAGCAGAAGATCCTCTCTGAGTTGACATAGCCTTGCATGGTATAAATACATATCTTCAAGTTCACATTTGCTGATTTCATTATTTTTATATAGAATCTCCTGGGAAATCTTTCTCAGGCATGTTTTGCACAAACATGCCTCTCTTGCACATCATAAAGTACCACTGAATGTTTTGAGTTGGAAAATCACCAGAAAGTATTAGTGACAAAAACCAAAGAATTCCTAACATTGTTTGTCATCTGATATTACTTCCAACTTGTTTCTAAGATCAAGAATCTTGCATAAGGTCTAAATAGAAGAATGAATATTTACTGGAAATTACATTGCAGTGAATCTGATATCCTCTGCCAAGTGGTATGCAACTGTAAAACAAAATTTTAGAGAAATTTATGGACAAAGAGAGATTCATTTCTTAAATAATTTATTTGGAATATATTAGATGTTAAATAACATAATGTAGCGCAAAACGTGATCAGGCACACCATATTTGTTCCTGATCATACAGATAAGAAATCCCCAAAACACGAAGGAAAAAAAAACAAACAACCTGACAAAAAACTCTTTGGCCAATAGATTTAGTCAAATACACATGGGATGTGAAAGTAGGGGGCTCCTAAATGGAGAAGGAGAAGAAAGAAAACACTGATGAGAACCAAAACAATACTGAGAAAGGAACTTGAAGGAATAGGGAATATTACAAGCACGTTACATTGCAGAACTGACAGGTTTCCTTTTGCCTTCCCCAGGCAATAATTCTGCTGATGAGATGCTTTGACTTGTCTTGGTGACACATGTTTCTTAGGACAGCAAGTGGCTGATGGAACAAAGAACGCCATCACACTTCACCAATCAGTGCTCTGATTTATTTGGACTAATTCATTGAAAAGCTAGAAGAACATCTTGTCTCATTACCTTGGATGCAGAGGTGGGGAGAAGGCAGTGTTAGTTGCACAGACCATGCAAAAGACTCCTATGTGTTTCCACTCAGCTGCTCTCCTGTACCATCTTTAGCCCTCAGAACTCAGTAATGCAGGAACAAGCAAGTGGAGATTCACAGTGTCAGAAACAAGATGGTCATTAACCATTTAAACTTTTTGTTCTTTTGGTCAAAGGTTTCCACTGATATTCCTGCACCCCACAGCATCAACCCTGTACGGAATGAGCAGTGTTGTTCTGTCAGTGCATTAAGCAGCACAATATGCACTTCACAAGAACCAGACCTGTCCAAGGAGGAAGGAGAAAAGTATGCCTGCTGTTTGGTGAAGCTTTAAATGCAGCTGACCTGTGGGTGGCAAATACCCTCAGGTAGAAGGGCTGTATTTGTTACCTAAACAAGCCCTGTCTCCGCTTCCTGACGGCAGCTCCCTGTGTCACAAATAAGAAGAAACAGCCCAGGGAGATGCTTTGGCATGTGGATGATCTGTTTTTTTACCTGCCATAGAGTTTTTTCTAAACACTGCAACGTACCTTGTTTCATTTGGAAATAGAAAGGACTTTTGTCAAAGGAAACATGTGTTAACGTTGAAGAAGGTCTAGTTGAGCCCAATGTAATTTTTTCTCTTGCTCTCAGTAGCTTTGTACCTTTCATGAGCAGGACAAATCTTTTCTGATACAGGTTATAATTCAGGGAATTGATTTGTGTAACAACCCACAGTGATCACCCTCACAAAACTCTGCTCATCCTGCTCATTGCCTGAATACAGCATGGTGGTTGCCAAGACACCTGGCATGCAGCCTGTGCCAAACAGGCACTAGAGCACATTGCTCATTACATCCCACCTGTGCACGAGAAGGGCAGTGATCGCTTGTGTTCCATAAAGGTTTTCTGAGAGTGTCATTCAGGCCTTTTTCCTGAGACCTCTTGCTCAGAACGAGGGCTTCCCCTGTTTTTACAGCTGTTGAAGAACAGAGGCGTTTAGCCAGTAATCTGCTTGATGGGTTTTGATAGCAGCTGGAGTGTAGTCAGCCAGCTTCCTTCATGTACACATGCTGGGTACTGCTAGGTATGGGCTTCACAGATTTCTCTGAAATTCATCTTTGACTCTACCTTTATTTTAAAACAACACTTTTGTTTCAAGCTAATTTTAAATTTTGTTAAATAGTATTTTGCTGTAATATCAGGGATTCCTCCAGTCTGATAAAGATGTAGCCAGGTTCAAGGGTCAGGATTTGTATTTTCAAAGAAGTTCAAGTTGGAAATAAGATTTGCAGTGAATGCAGGTTGTTACTAGAACCAGCAGTGGAGGACTGGAGGAAATACGACCCTCAGAACCTTTCACTACCATGGCCAGGTGTCTTTCTTGGACATGTTTTGCGGCACATTCATCATTTCTTAAGCTCAGAGTGCTTCTTCAAAATGCCATGGGAGAATAACCTCTTCCCCTGGCAAACCACTGGATGGATTTCTATGGCCCCAACTGATAGAGGAGGTCAGGGCAGAGGCTTTTCTGGCTTAGAATTGTCTGTTACAGCAGTGAGTCCTTCCTAGTTCCCAGAGCATGACCTCTTTCAATTGCTCCTTCAATTGCTAACTGACCAAGGAATTCCTTTGCCATTGAATGGAAACTTAAATAAAGCAGTAATAAATACAAATAAATTATCATTGTACATAGAGAGGCAACCCACAAAGATAGTGACTATCAGACTAACACCAAGACTTCATCTCTCATTCTCTGCTAAGGAGATGAAGTCTCTGACCAGCATTCTGCAATGTTGCTGCTCATGCTGGGAGAAGAGGCACCACAGCTTTCAATGAGAGTTAGCTCCTCCATACTCTGCAAGCATGGGGCTTGCTGGAAGAATCCCAGGATGCTGCCTCGTGCCGCCACTGCTGTCTGCTGCAGGCCTGGCTCTCCCAGCACCTTGACAAGGAAGTTGATGTATCTCATAGCTAGCCGTAGTGTTTCATTCTTGCTCAGTTTTTTGTCTGGTGGATGGGTGGGAATAAGTTTCCTCAGCTTGGCAAAGGCACTGTTGACATTTTGCTGCCTCCATCGCTCCCTGGTGTTGGTGAAGATCTTCCTGGTCATTTTCAAGGTGCTGTAAAGTAAAGGAGATGGATATTGAGTGCTAGATATCCCTGACTTTCCTGCAGGCTGATGCTCTGGGCATGCTCTGTGGCATCTGGGCATCACCTCTGTGGCAGCTGTGAACACTTGGTCATAATGCTAGGAATTCTTAATTGTTGCCCTCTGTGGCTGATATCCTTCAGAGATTCAACCCACTTTTAGAAATTATGTCTCAGTATAAATCCACAATCATAGGCATAGCAACTGCAGACACCAGAGTCCAATAAAAATTTCACAAAAGAGTAAATGAATTTAATTTCCTTGTACAGCCCCGCAATGCTGCCTTTATCCCAGCTTCCTAAGGTTCTCTTACAGGAAAACTCCCTTTAGCCTCTATGTTAGTCCTCTCAGCAGGCTGTGTGGGGCACCTGAGCACTTCTTGCAGGGCGAGAAGGAAGGGGTGGGCAGGACCATGACAAAACACCCGTTTATCAAGGCCCATTTCACACCTTCTTGGGGGCTGTTCCCACCTGTCCCAAGTTTCAGAGTATAGCAGGAGATAAGCCATACATAGGTGGACCTTCAGCAGGGGCCTTCAGAAGGCAACAGCTGATGATAATGAACACATGGTTACTTTAGGATTACTTGAGGTTATTTTAGTAGATTTCTCCAGGGAAGCAATGGTCTGGTTCCCTGCCCACATTGATGGCTCACTGTTGGTGACAGGGATTCCCCGGTTCAGTACATTTAGGCTTCTATTTTAGCCTCTGAGATCTGCTAAGACTAAGCCACAAATGCCACAAGTGCTCCTGGGCAGGGTTCACAGACTGTAAAGGGACAACGTGATGCCTACAAAATGTGCAGGCATTCCAAAAGTCCATGCAGATGTTACTGGCCATGCTGCTTCACAGTGCTGAGCAACAACCCAGTGCCCAGAACAGACCTGGAAACAGGACACTGCTGTGCTAGGTGCAATGGGTGGTTTTAAATGCCATTTATTAGAAACGTTGTCAAAAACTTTTGGAATTCACCTAATCCTGCTCATTGATGTTTTCAGCCCATGGGAGACTGGCTGCCAGGCCACCCTGCTGTTCTTGCTCATTTCCATTTCCCAGGAAAGCCCTCAAGTTCTGCTCAGAAATATCTGATGGCTGTAGTTCCCTCTCAAAAGCCTTCCCTTCTGCCTCACAGCCGTGTGGGAGATATTCACTCTTCCATTTCTGAAGTGTTTTTTTTTATGCCAATGGCATGCAGACAGCTGGAGCAGAGAAAACTATCGACAGCCAAGGGACTAAAGGACAAATGCCTCCACCTTCTCTCTCATGAATGTGAAACCCTCAGCTCTTTATATTCATCGGCAAACTCACTCCCAGGGCAGTCCCAGAGGCTGCAAAGCAGGGGAGGCAGAACTCCTCACGCTCAGAACGGAAAACACTGGAGATCCCTGCTACGAAGCCATAGCCATGTGAAGAAGCCTCATGCTGTGCGAGGTGCTCACCTCCATCGAAGCATGTGGCAAAATTCTGGGTGAGTAAAGCAATCCCACTGTGACACAGAGATCAAGTGGGTCTTCCTTGGCAGGGAGGCAAGACACGCACAGCAGACAGGAAGTCCCCTCTCAGCACCTTCACTTCACAGTCTAACACTCCTTGCAAATCACCAGGCAAACACAGCTGTAGGGCCATAAATCATGTTGGAGCCACATTCAGACACCTCCATCAGAGATGCACTCATGTAGGCTATATATGGCTGTGCTCCCAGGCTGGTCTCATCTGTAGCCTCTACACTGCTACCACGCTGCTATTTTAGTAGAAGCTTGAAATTACCGTCAGCCCAGTTGTCTACACCGCCTTAAGGGGACAAGAAAGTTGTCTGATCAGAATGTGCTTGTTTCATGAGCAGCTCCTGTTAAAAGCTAGCTCTAATATTTTAGGTGGCTGAGGGTTCTTCCTGTTTTTGTAAACTTGCATTGAGACCCATTTCTCAATCCAAATGGAGATTGTCTTTTTAAACAGTATATTTTATTTTAAAAAAAATAAAATTGCCTTCCTACTCTGAATGTTACTTTGAGTTTGTGCATTGTGGACAATCCTTCTTTGTCCTCTGCACTCACCTGGAAGAGCTAGCATGCACCTTTCAGGCAATAATGCTGCTGAGTCAGGAAAATAGATTTCAAGCATTGTCCTCCAGTGCTTCTGTCAGCTGCAGCACGTTCATTCCCCAAGGCAAAATTTTTGCCATTACAATTTTATTCTTCCAAGCAGCTGCTTGGATTCATATGAAATTCAGAGCACCACCCACTTCTCTCCACCCTTTTCTGTTTTAGTTTGGTTCAGTTTGTTTGTTTGCTTGTTTTAGAATAAATTTATCTGTGTGCAAAACAGTTGCTTTTTTTATAAACTAGGGAAGGTTATTTGGGCCTCCTTGTTTCTTCTAGTGGTCTGGGTGGACTGTGTTCCATTCCCGTCCATATGCTATCATTCTGGTACCCTGCTCTGTTTGTTTGCATCTCAGTCGTGAATGCCGGTGGAAGCTCGACTCCTTCCTCCTGCTGCATAGCACCCGGCACAGCACTCTGTGAGAACAGGTCAGTGCTGCGAACTGGAGCGTGGTCACCTCGTCATTTTAGCAGCGTTATGGTGGAGAAATAACCCCCAGCCTGCTCCTTCGCACCACGCTGCCTTTGTCTCTCTCCTCTTTCGCTTGGAAAAGACAATGCTATATCTGTGGTCACAAGCCTCGTCAGCAAATAGATGCCTTTGTGAGACCAGTGCCTGCTTTACACTTCAAAAGTGTGTGCTTGTGTTTCTGACATTTGTTCAAGATCAGCAAACAGCAGCTTCCCCCGCCCCGCTACCTCCTCCTGCTCCAGTGCCTGTACAGGGAGGTCCCTGCAGCTGTAAATCACCTCCACAGCCTCTCCACCTTACATCTCAGTCCTCCTGCTCCTCACTGTCTTGGTGCTTCACATAATCTCATTGTTTCTCTGGGAGGTTCTGCTGGAAAGGTGAGAGAAGAATGTGCCTGGTCCACGACTGCCCAATGTTAACGTTTCAACACAGCTTAATTCCTCACATCATCACCAACACACCCTTCCAATTTTCTCTAACTATGGCACCTTCCAGTCAAGGAGCAGCGAGTTCACTGACAAAGCATCTGATTTCCATTCCTTTTGTCTCATTCCTTCCCTCCTCCTCCCTCCTTCTCTCCAGCCCTCCCCACCAGGCTTGGCTTTCAATGTGAAATTGCGTGCAGCTTCAGATCTTCGCTAATGCTGCACGTCTGAGCAATATATTCTTTAGCTTTCCTGGTGCAATGCGTAAAATATGTATTGGCTGGTGGCTGTGTGCAATTTGTATTGCACCAGCCCATTTTAAATCTCCGCAGAAATCACCACTTTGTTTCCACATACTGCAGACAAATTGCTTTATCCTGCACACCTGGATTATTCAGTGCTTTCTGGTCACCTCTGCCAGCTACAGGCTAACAGCCCACATTTATGTGATGAAGGAGGAAAATAGGAAGGCAATCCTGCCTAGATCCAGGAGGATTAATTCTGCTCAGAAGAATGTAAATCTGAAGGGTTACACCATTTTTACTGGTGGAGTAACGCTGCAGTTCAAAACGTTGCCATTGAGGACAGGATTTAACTGGGATCAGAGAGGCAAATCCAGAAACAGTAGTTAAGTGCATCTTCATGAGCTGAGATCCACATCTGCAGCATGTAAAGAGAATTGTGCAGAGCCATAACCACAGCCCAGCAGTGAATCCGCCCTGACAGCCAGCGAGAGAAAAACAAAACACTGCCACCCACCGAACAGATAACTGAAGCTCTTTCCACCTCCTGCCTACCCTTTTGAAAAGCACAAAAATAGGGGGGAAAAAAAATCTGGCTGTGGCTAGTGCAGCCGCAAGTGTCACCAGACAAAAGAGTAAACAATAGCAGAGATGAAGATCTCTCCCTCGGTGGCAGCAGTTCTCTCCGTGCAAGAGCTGCTCAGGCAATTCCAGCAGCAGCTGCTCCAGCCTGGGGACAGAGCACCATCTCTGCAAGGACTTCCCTGGCAAACGGCCCCGAGCCAGCATTTAATGTCCAAGGGCTGGCAGGGGACTCCCCAGCAGCCCAGCACTCTATCATAATTAGCAGGTTGCTATTAAATAAAGATCTTGGAGGAGAAAGTTCCTCCCTCAGTTTATACCTTTGACCTCGCTGAAGTTAAATCCATGTTGAAACTAGCCACTGGAGACCTACTCCTGCAAATCTTAATCAGACAGCAGATGCCTGCTGCCAGCAAGAATTGGAGTGCTGCTAGTAAACCCGTAATGCCATGCTGTTCTCCATAGGGGAAGAAGCCCCGTGCCTGCTAAAACTGGTTATTTAACACATCAATTTTGTGAAGTCCCTTCAGCTCTGAGGTAAATGACTGTAGAGCAGCGGGTGGTGCCTGGATCTGGCACTAGGCAGTGCTGGCAGCCTGATCTGCCACGGGGAGCAGAGATCGCCGATAGAGCAGCCCACAGCCATGCTTTGTTCACTTTGCATCAATGCAACATGGAGAAGAGGAGAAAGAGGAAGCTCATTGTTTTCCTCTTCAGCTTCATGCCAGCCGTGGAGCACAGGACTCAGTGCCGTGCAAAGATTGAGCATGGATGTCACAGGACATTACGCTGCCTATCAATAACACGTGTGACTTTTTTTTCTCCTCTCTGTAGGAGAAATAATCTTGAACTCTCTGCAGCTGAACCACACTCTGTCCGCACAGGTCTGAAGGACTTCCCTTGGGCCAAGAGGGGAAGGGAGAGAGGGGGGTAATGACATGCCCCAGCTCAGTGGACTGCTGGAGGAGCAGCACTCCTCTAGGAACTTGTTCCCCTCAGCTATCCTGAGTACTCCCATATCCTTCTCACGTGCTACATCCCCATACCCCATCAGAACACTGGTGGACAAGTCATAGGTAGAGCACAGCACAGCTCAGTGAGACAAAACCGTGCCGGCCATTAGGAGCTGTGCTGCTGTCCTCATTCCTGATAATTCTTTGCCCCTGCCTGTCCCTCCTACCCATCATTAGTCTGTTTCAGCTAGTGATGGGTTGTTAGAGTGGTATGGTTTGGTTGCGGTTGGAGTTGATAATCTTTAAGGTCTTTTCCAACCTGAGCAATTTTGTGATTCTATGTTTTTGGAGAGGAAGTTGTCTATGTGTTTGTATGACTCAGCTGGGGAAAGGCCCAGCTCACAGTGGCCCAACTACACCAGGCATTGGTAGTGCTGGGCCAGTGTGGTGAAGCTGAGTGCTTGCTCCCAGCTC